TAAAAAAATAAATCATTATAAAACATACGGAATTTTGATATAGAATCATTAATTACATATACAAACCTTAAAAAAAATGTATTATTTCCTTATTTCGATTTCTTATAGATCATAAAGGTTTGGTATTTGGAAAAGTGACTAAAATTCTCATAATACCTAAGCGAGAAATAGCTAAAAGAATAGCTAATGCTGTAGTAAAACCACATCCTTTTGTAGAGTTGTCAGGGAAAGTTATTGATGTTAAAAAGCTGAAAAATGCTCCTGAATCATATCCTGATTTCTTAAGTACTTAAAGAACAATTATATTAATTCGCTCATCTCCAGCAACATACAAATCTACTATATTAAGAGAAATCATTATAGTATTAAAGAGTAAGGTGCATGATATCTCTTCTATGCCATGTTATATCTGGATCTCTTACTGAAAATCTCTTAGTAACGAGTCAAAAGCAAAACTTGATGAGTTAAAAGCGTTCAGCTTCTGACTTTGCAACTACCAAAATAGGCTAGGAGACTTATCTATAAATGAGTGGGATGTTATTATAGTACAAGTTAAGAGTCTTTTCCATATAGAGTTCACAGCCTGTCTATTTGTAGCTATTCTTGATGAAATCAATACCATTATGCATCAAATGTCTAGCGATACAAATGCACGGGAATCTGAGAATGCAATACGTGATGTATTAAGATCTGCGAGACATGTTTTGGCCATAGATGCCTTTACGAATAAGTCGACATTAGCATTTCTTAAAGTATATCATGGTGAAGACATTCATATAATTAATAATAGACACCAGCCTCATGTGAATGAGATGGTTGAAATTCTTTATGATCTGAATAGCGAAGCCAAAGTTATAAGAATAGGATATGATCTTTTGAGGCAAGGAAAACTTGTGATATTTATATTTACTAGAGCAGTGATGGCTAGAGCATTAGTAGAAAAAGCATCTAAGTTATCTAAACCTGATAATTTACCTGTTAGGGCCTGTGCATATTATGGGAATATGGTTGGGAAGCAAAGATAAAAAAACTTTTCCAATATTAATGATGCCTGGAGCAAACTCGACTGCGTGGCTTATATAAATACAGTAGAAGCAGGTATATCTTTTGAAATTACAGGTTATTTTGATATAGTCATAGCCATTACAAATATTGCTACTCTAGTTCATGTTGAAGCTCTTACACAAATGCTTTACTGAATTTGTGATTTCCTTATCATATTGTTTCTTTATTCTATCAGAAAAATTCTAATAAACTTTTTCACCTGCCAGGTCATGAAAATATTCGAGCAGAGCTTGAAAATGCTTGACCTAATAATTTGCCTACAGCAATAAAGAGATATTGTGAATGGAATAATAATACTATTTCTTATAAAGTTAATGAGTCTCCAGCTATAATAACTTTCTTTGAAGTTGAGCATCAAAAACGTCTTTCTGCAAGATATTTTATTGAAAAGCTTTGTAGTCTCATAGCCAGTACAGGTGCTTTTTTTCAACTTATAAAAATGAATGAGAGTCAAGGAGGTATAGGAAATTGCAAAAGAGTCCGAAATGAGATTAGGGTTGAAATATTAGTTATTAAAAATACAGATTTTAATACAGTTGCTACTTTCTAGAATCTTAGTCTTGAAGAAGCTGAAGTCCTTAAATTTGACCAAGAGTGTTCTATCGCAGATACTATAGCACCTAAACGTTTTTATATGTGGAATCTTTATTGTAAATACATGAGTATTGAGGACTGAAATAATATTTGCAATAGAAAAATTTATTGAAAATTTTAGTTCACCTAAAGTTCGGAAGTATTTCTTATGGTTGTCTTATTTTTGAAGGCAAGGTTATGATGAGGAAAGTGTAATGAAGGGATTGAAAGCTAAAGAAAATATACAATAGGAAATTACCTACTATAGAGCTGAAGAGAATCTAGAAAAATCAGTGGCAGAGGATTTGCATAAATCTTATTTGGCAAATCACTGGGAAGCTATAAGGAAACTTTTTTAAATATTAGGCTTTACTGGTATTGATGATATACATACTCTTTTAGGTAATATTATTTCAGAAGCATTCGCTCAATTGTATGAAAGATTTATAGAAATCTGAAGTTAGTCTTTATTACTCTTTGGTTTAAGTTCCATGCAAAAGAAAAGCCTGATCTTATATAAAAACAATCAATGCAATCAATGCAATCGCTGGTAATTGGTGTGGTTATACAGTTAAAAGCAATTGAAAAAAAATAGGTCCTAAGGAATAGCAGGTTTGGGAATATTCATACAAAATTAATTACCAGCCATATGATGGTCTTGATTTTGGAGATAAAGATGTACTAGAATTTCCACCATATAGATCTGACGAAATGCTTCAAAATCTTTTTAATTCTATAGAGTAAGAAAATAATTCTCTGATCCAGATCGTTATTCAGCTGAAGTAAGTATCTTGATTATATCTGATTCCATTTTATTTTATTTATCTCTACGCCAAACATGTTCATAAATTCCATTATGTATTCTATAGATTTCAGTATGAGAATAGGTTAGCTCATTACAGATAAGGCATATTTTTTAGGATGGGCTTTATAATGTCTGGCATATCTTGAAACACGTCAGCACTCTTTTCCACAAATCATTCTATCTTTCTTGATGTAATAACAGGATAGATAATCCATATGAGGTAATTTTGATATTAATAATCTTAAAACTTCATCTTCACTTTTATTATAGATATTCAAAATTCCTTTGCTTTAGCGTCTGATTAAGAAATTTTTTTCGAATTAAATTTTTTCTCACATAATATAACTAGATAAAAGTTACTATTAATATAGCTACCAAAACGGTTACCCTAAAGACTCGAAAACACAAAACTAATAACTATGTCAGCATCTTAAATCAGTTCCTAGAAAGTATAATTTATCGGTCAACTCTACTTCAGAACAATTAAGTGAATATTCTCCTGAACTTAATACTTTACTTTCTGATTGGATAGCCCGCAGATATGTTAAAGTTGCACTTACTAAAGATACTGATAACAGACGCTTATTTAGTAAAGAGCAGATAGAGGCTCTCTTGTCAGATAAGAGAAAGGGAAAACTTACTATAGAGGAAAGAGCAAAATATTATGCTAAGACCAGTGATTTTATAGATATTATTGCTAATCATTGGCATTTGAATCCAAAGAGTAATGATGAAAATAAAATTATTACTGGTGTCTCGCGTCAGTCAACATTTCATGTGAAGTTAGCAGAAGGCAGTGTAAATTCTACAATTATTGAAGCATTTGCTAAAGATCAAAATATATTCAAGAGTCTAATTAAATTCAGAAAAAGCAAACTAAGAAATGAATGGCTAATCCAGATAGAATTCCCATACATTTCTCCTTAGCAAATATGAGTAAAAGAATTCAAAATATAGATGTTTCCAAAATTCCTACTAGAGATGATCTTGCAGATATGATAGTGATGTTAAGTATGAGACTAGAAGAAGTAAGATCTCTTCAAATTAATCACCATGAACTGGATTCTTCTAACATTTCAGCATGATATAAAGAAGGCTATTCTTGGTACTGCATAGACTATCTAAAGAGTAGAGGAGAAAAGAAGAAAAATCCTGAAACCCAACCATTTATTTTCATGAAGAAGAATCCAGAATGTGCCAGGAAATTACTCACCTGGATTCAAGATGCAATTAAGGCTAAAAAGTTATCTGTTCCTGTCTTTACTGAAAGTGAAACACATAATACTTGGCCATTTAATGAATTCTTAAAGCAAGAAGCTTATAGAACTATACCTAAAAAATTACAGCTAATTTCATAATTCGTGAACCACTAATAAATTGCGACTGAATGCGACTGAAAATATTTTATAATAAAATTACTATAAAATATTGTGACTGAATGCGACTGAAAAATTATTAATGGTCCATGAATTATGAAATTAGCTGTAAGAGATTATGGGAGTAAATACGCTTCTAGAGTTTATGGTAATAAAAATCTAATCCCTTAGTCAATGTTGTTATGGGACATAGTTAGAACACTGATAGGACACTGATAGGACATTAATGGGACAGATGAGACATTTAGGACATATATGAGACATAGTTAAGACATATAGTTAGGACATATAGCTGGGACAGCAAATGCTTGGGACATAGGAAATGTACATTACTGCTCTTAGCATCTTAAACTCCTTTCGAGAATTGCAATGAGACAAGAATCAGGCTGCCTTGATGTAGGAGATAATTATGCTATGAGTGTAAGGTTGCTTGTCTAAACTCATTTTGGATTTGGCAAAATGGTTAAACCTTTAGTTTCGCTAAATTTTTACTAATTGTTTAATATAGTTTCACCATTTTTATAAGCTTTGATATAGTTTTACCTTTTACCAAATTTTGCAGATTTTTTAATAAGGTTTTAATATAATTTAACCAAGTTTTACTTTTACTATTTAGACATCTGTCTAAACTCTTGATTTCGTCCAGCAACCTTATTTACTGCAGTATGAGCTTTATAATCATTATTTATTGTCAAGACTCTAAATGAATTTAATTTTTTCATTATCATTAATTTTTGTCTAAAAATTAAGAATATACAAAAAATTCTAAACTACTTAAATTGATATTATTTTTTTCAAAATTGACAATTGTTTGAGCAAATCCGATACTTTTTATAAAGATGAAATTTTTAATAAAATATAGCATAAGAAATAATTCAATTAAATTACATAACTGCTAAAATAAAAGTTTCTCACAAATAATTCTTGACCGTAACGGTCAAATAAATATTTGAAATATAAAAAATGAATTTATTTAATTATCAATTATTAATTAATTGATAATGATATAGCCAATTATAATAAAATATTATACTAGTTAAAAATTATATCTATTGCAGTATGAATGTGCCTTCTATAAAAATCAATCAAGAGAAAACTCAAAATAAATAATACTTAAAATAAAATAATAATTTATAAAGTAAATCTTTAATGTATAAATATATCTATTAAATATTATTAAAGCTAATTTGCATTAGAAAAGGATGGTAAACTAAAAGAATTTCTTAAGTTTATATTAAATATGAACTAAAATTACCAAAATATTCATATTAGCATATAAAGTAATTTTTTTTTGAAATGTATCATTCAAGATCATCAAAAAACATAACCCACTATTATTATCCTATTAAGCTTAAACTATTTGTCGTTAAGTTAACAAAGATTATTTGCTAGTATGAAGTTTGATTACGTCTAAACTATGAAAGAAATAAATACAAATAATTAAATTAAAGGGTCAGATCGTCTTTATCGATATAAATTTAAGGAAGAATGAATTATTTAATGAGCAAAGATAAGTTTTAAAAATAAATATTATTGATTTATTAAAGAGTTGTAGTGACGTTATCCTTTATCAAAGCAAAAGTACAAGATATTTATATAAAATACATTAATAGTATATAGATATTAAATATATATAAGAAATGTAATAAATATAAAAATTAAAAATATTAGAGAAATATGAGAAATTAGAAATTATTAAGATATTATAGAAATAAGAAAATTAGAGAAAAGATAGAATTAGAGAAATTAGAGAAAGTTAATATCAATAATCATCAGGATTATCATTCGCTAATTATAATTAGTGCAGTACTAATGTGTTATAATAATATTATAATTATTTTATTATTTCATCTATTAAGAGCCGTAATATTTAGTTTATTAGCAAGGTGATTTCTTTTAATATCAGATATTATTCTTTATAGCATTATGGAATTAGCTTCAGAGTTTGTGTCAAATTTGTTAGCTTTAAATATAATAAGAAGAATTTTTGAAATTACTATAAAAGGTGAATATAGTATTAGAATGGAAACCTTAATCCCAAAAGTACTTTATCATCAATAATGCAAAGAACATGCAAATTTAGAATTAGATCTATCAAGATTTGAGTATATAATTGAAAATGCTAATCCTCAACTTAAAGGTTTTTTTAGTTATATGATAAATTTAGTCATTTCTAAAGAACACTCTGCATACAACATAAATGAAGCAAAAAAATCAATCATTAAGCTGTATTATACAATAATAGGCTTACAAATTTGTTAATCAACATAAATTAGAAGTTAGATTGTACTTATTGTCATCAGGTACAACATAGGAAGTTATTAATATATTATCAAGCCTTAGACATTTAGCATGTGCCAAAACAGTAGATAGATTTTACAAAAAATTCTAAAAAGAATATGCATTAAAAGTTGAACAACACTTTATAAAAAATATATGTCTATAATTATAATTAATAATAAAATATGTTTAGTATATATGTCTGATCTAATTACTTTTTTATTAGAGATGTATTTTTATAATTACAACATAAATGATTATCATGCAATTTATGAATTTTGCAGATCAGATACAGTTTAAACTTCAGCAACAAAATACTTTATTACATGCATAGCAAAACCTATTATAATTTGCAATTTATACCACTTATTTTTAACTGCATATCAATTCATAATCCATCAAATATGAAAGCATGAAGAATTAACTGTATTTAATTAGAAATATGGTGAAGTATTTGATACTTCATATTTAGATCATCAAATATTTTGAGTTTTACAAAAACAATTAAACATTAATAAATATAATTGAATTGAAGTATTGACAATACACATTTACAATAATAATATTGTGAAATAAAAAGATGAACAATCTATAAAGGATCTTTAATTAGTTGGATTTAAGGAGCAACATTTACATTCAGTTCAGGTTTATGTTAATGCATTAAAACTTATTCTATCTATAAATGACAAAGCAAAGTATTTGGATAATTAGGTTACACATATTGTTGCAAATTGCACTAGCCAAATATTTATTCGAAAAGCATTATATACAGAAGGATTATCTTATAAAATTGAAGCATTTCTACCCATTTTAAATTTTCTTCATGTGTTATTAAACAGTCATGAACAGGTTTTATTAATTTATTATCCTTTTTTTGAAAACAATTTCATTTGTATTTGGCAAGTATAAAGTATTAGCAAAAAAACCCTGTTCAAAAATAAATTTCTTGTTATAACTTGTACAAGAAGGTTGGATCAAGATTAAAATAAAATTAATAGATAAATTTGAACAAATCTGTAAAAATATTGAATATTAAACTACTTGATAACTTAGTTTCAGTAGTTCTTGGTATTTACACAGTTTTATTTCAATCAGGTTCATTTGATAAAATATATAGAAACAGTTTTTAGAATATGAACATTTCTTTGAGATAGAAATGAAAAATTATAATAAAACGCCCTTAATATTTTTATCAGACTTGTTTTATTGGAAGGATAATAACTACCTTTTTATAATATAATTAAGACATATTTACCAAATTTTAACGATTACTATGTGAAAAATATACATAGCTGAATTTGAGCAAATATCTTATCAATTGTAACAACTGATAGTATTATAAAGCAAGTCTATATTATAAGTAATGTTAGGGATATTTTAATATTTGATTGTTTAATAAATTATATTTTATTTATTTTTATTAATCAATTTCTAGTGAATCATGACACTGCATTTAAAAACATGTATATCAAATCAAAATAATATCCATACAGTATTAGGATTATATATAAAATTGAAATGAAAACCTAAAAGTCAAAATAAAAAGGTGAAATAGTCAAAATGACATTATATCACATAATTTTTCATATAGAAAAAATCTAAAAAAATAAAAATGTTTGATTTTAGTCAATATTACTCTGATTTGTATGAAACTGCTACCATTTAATTCCTTGCAACTAGATGGATCTAATGAGCGACCATTCATTGATTTCGGATCAGCCCATTTCAAAATATTTGTGATTAAATTTCAAAATCTAGACTCTTTATTTAAAGTAGAATTTATTGATTTATAATTTCAGCCGATAATACAATTGTGATTATCGCGTAATTAGATAATCTAAAATCAATGAGTATTAGCTCATTGGATCCATCTAGTTGTGAGAAATCAAATAGTAGTTTTTCATACAAATTGTAGCAATATTGACTAAGATCGTATATCTTTTGTTTTTGTTTTTTCTAAATATGAAAAATCATGTGATATAGCATTATTTTGACTATTTTGCGACTTTAGCATCCAATGGTCGAAATGATTTTGATCAGAAAACTGGCAGCCCTATCTTAGTTGGTAGCAACTGAGATCCTATTGTAGGTTACACTGCAATAGATTCTAGTTCAGCCTCTAGCCAAGGCAGATTATGGTATTAATTTACTATAGGATTTACCAATTCAATTTTAGAAATGAATTTAATAGGATGTGTACAAATAATATATATTGAAGATCGCAAATTTGTAGAATAAGATGACCATTTGATAGTTGTTTACATGAATAATAGTAACTCCTATAGCATAAGTTGTGTAAAGTCACTTCATTTACATATCACTTTAACAACAAGTAATAGTGATAAGTAACTTAAAATATAGTAAATAGATTGAATTTGAAACCTATATTAAGGGGCTAATCTGTAATGAACAAGTGTCACATCATCTGCAAAGGGTATCTATCAGAGTAGGATCAATAGTAAGCATTATATAACTTGAATTAAACAATAGTCATAGGTTATATGTGGTTGATATTACACTATCTTTAACCATCGTGATGCCTATATTATAATTAGAACTTGAAGATTTGAGTTTGATACTTGGGGTAATTTTAATATATGGTGAGGCAACTATAGTGTAGGCTATCATCTTAGGTTGTTCTTGACCCTCTTTCCAGTAGTTGTAATGAATATGAATAATGATAAATACCAAAGTATTTTACTATGAAATTTAGTGATTTAGTAGTCTACTCAGTTATAACACTCATTCACTTAAGTTTAATACAAATTCACATTGAGTTGCAATATACCAAAGGGATTATAGTTGTAATTATATATTGTAAATCATATCATTCTGTTAAAGTTTATGTAGCTAAACTTTACCATCAGCGTGTGCCTAGTAAAAATATCAAAAAATGATTTTGACCATTTTGACCATTTCAGATATTCAAATGATCCATTTTGACTTCATATATAATTAGAACACTTGATTTTCTATCAAATAAAGCCAACCTTTTTTATTACAATACTTTCAAGAATTATTTCATAATTAAAGATGAGAACTGTAATTAATATATTGCAACTTTTAATGTTGTAACATACATTATAATTAGTTTTAACATATATATATTACAACTAATTTTAGCTTATGTCGCAACATGTTGTAAATTTGAAACTAATTGCTGCACTATATTTATTCATAATTATAAATGAAGTAGGCCAAAACTAAATAAAAAAGCCAATAAAAAAAACCTCCAGAAATTTATTAGCTTGTAACTTTAGGAAAAAAAAAAACTTACAGTATTTACCAACAGGATAAAACATGTTGTATTCACCACAACCTGGATTATGTGATCAATGCAAATTTCCATTTATTAATAATAATAGTACAGTGTTTATCTATAGCCATACATACTATTTAACTTGTTATCAATCTATTTTGAGAAGTTTTACAAAAAAGAAGTGGTTAAAAAATATTGAATTATTCTTAAAGTGAATAGAAAATCAACAAATACATTTACCTTAGAGGATCTTATTGATGATAATAATATGAAGATAAAAACAAAAAAGAGAGATGATGAAAATTCTAGGAAAATAGATAAAACTTTAGATATTTTATCTAAACTTATAATAGAAGTTAACCAAATAGAAAATTGGTAAATATATAGATTGTTAAATAAAAAAATGATAATTGTATACTAACTGCAAATGATTTTTCTATAATAAAATATGTTAATATACATAAATATTTTATTGTATAGCGATTGAAAAATAACATGATAAAGTTTTTTTATAATGTTGATAATTGTCTTTAGCGTATAACTATATGATACTGCTTTCGGTATATGTATACTTATATAAAATCAGGTGTAATATTTATGTATTTACAAAATTTCAGTCATTCTATAAAGTGATCGAAGATATATAAGAAATATAAATGATATGGGAGCTAATCTATTAAAAGTGGGTTACGAGACATAGTAAATCATATGATCCGTACCTCAATTTTAATAGAATACTACCCATATAATAACTATAATAAATATAATAAATATATGTAATATAAAAGATATAAATAATATAATAAATATAAAAAATATAATTACTATATAACATAGAAGACATATATAACATTTTAATCGTCACAGTCATATGATCATCTATGCTATCTATGTTATCTTCATGTAATAATATTATTCTTTTAAAATAATTTTTATTATTATACTAATGTTATTTCTTAATATAATTTTCATATAATTAAATTAAAATATCAAAATTATGAATAGTTTTTATTAATATAATATTTAATTTTAATATAAATTGTAATATAAATAAGTATATGGAAACGTTTCCAGTAAAATCACATTACAGATCATATGATTTACTATGTCCTATGACTTGATTTTCTGAAAACGTTTCCATATATTATATAAATTTATATAACTTTAAATGAACATATAAATATAAAATATATAATTATTAGTAATAAGAAAATTTAATAATTTTTAAAAAATAATAAAATATAAATTTTAATAATTAAATTTATAAAATAAAGTTTTTAAGATATCTTATATAATAAAAATTTAAATATTTAATATTTTAAAAAAGAAAATTATTTATATTGTACGATTATAAACTACTTTTTGCTATTTAATTATTACTCTAAATATAATAATCTTAATTGAATTTTAAATAATATAAATATATTTTAATATATTTAAACAAATTAATAAAAAAAAATTTATTTTTTTTTTTAAAATTTATAATATTGTTATTATCAATTCTTTAGGATTGCTTAAATGTTAAAAGCATGTTAAGGCAAGCAGAAAATATTAGTTTATAAGTAAATATAGGTTGAGTCAAATAGTTCAATTATTTATTTAATAAATTCTTAATAAATGAGTATTACTTCTATTATTATACAAATGTTGTATATTAAACTAAACTATCTAAGCTAAAAGACTATACTTGAAAAACCTTCAAGAAAAACCTATCGTTTGTTATTCTAAGACTCAAGGTATATTTATATAAGAATAATTGCATAAAGTATTTGAAGATATATGAGTGGTATGCTATTAAAATTAAGGTACAGGGTATAGTAAATAATATCTGTAACTCGATTTTAATAGCATACCATTCATATAAAAAATATAAATGATATAATAAATATAATAATTATAGTAGATATATAAAATATAAGAAGTATAGATATATAATAGATATACAAAATATAAAAGATACAGTATATGATATAGAAAACATATATGAGGCCTTTGCAATAGAAAGGGAAGAAACTGCCAAAAAATTAAAAAATGAGTTAATGCTAAATTTGAACATATTTCAGCCTAAAAATCATATTTGACATAT